TAGATTTAATCTTTTCTCACCTTTTATTGCAAGAGTGACATTACAGCAGCTCTCAGACTATATGAAAGAAAGACAGGCTTCAGACACCTAGGTTGTAAAAGAACCACAACTGGTCCTGAAGAGCACTGCTTCACACTATCCAAAGGGAAATACTCAACAGATGATCCAGCTAGTATCACTGTCACTTGCAGGAGTGATCCTTGATCTCCATGAAGGAAATGGAGTTTATGATACAGATTATATCTTGTGCTAAATGCAGTCCAAATCGGACTCCAAACTTGCATCTTGTACAAAATTTGGCACAGACAAGCAGTGATACTGCTAACATTCATTAAATTTAACCCTTGTTATGATTTATTGCTCACAAAGCTTGGATCCACATAAAAACTAAATTTATATTATTGTAACTCATCACTTCCCCAGAGACTATTTAATGCAGATGTCAGCAAAATCATGAATGGTGCTGGCAACATGAGCAGGATACCATTATTCAGCAATCACTACACCAGAACAGAGGACAGTTAAACACAATTCAGTGGTACCTTTCACCCTGTGCACAGTTAAATTGTGGAGAACCTTGAACAAAGTATTATCAACATTGAAACACAAATTAATTCAAACCATAATTTACAACACCATGAAAAGTTATTAAACATTTTAGGCTCCATGCAGCCTCTTGCTTATCAAATTCTTGTGCCATTGAAAACCATGAAGGTGTTCCTGAAGGGAGTTTGCCTAGAAACACCCTACCTATCATACTTTTTCCTTATGCTTTCCCTCTGTTCTACTACAGAAGGTCCAGGGGAGCCATTTAGACTTTAAGTTTCAAAACAGACTAATATATGAGATTAAAATATAAAAAAAATTAGAAATATAATATGTCACAAATTACAGTAATTAAGAATCAGTTGATTGTGAAGCACTACTTCTGTAAGAGGAGAACCGAGCCTATTTGAAAAGATAATGACAAATGTTGGGACCTGCACATCCTGGCTTTTTCATGTATCACAATATACCAACTGAAAAGAGTGACTACACAATTGCCATAAAATCATACCTTTCAGTATAAAAAAATCAGGAAAACATATTCTAAAAGAGGTTTTTGTAACAGCTGGCTCTTTCGCTGAAGTAAATTTTTCAACTCCCACAACAGACATACTGGGTTGCAACTCATATTGCAACTCATATTTCAGCATTCCTTTTCTTTTTTTTTTTTTTTTTTTGGTACTATGTCTTGAAATAATGAAATCTGTTTTTTCAGTCAGTGATATCACAACAGGGTAATATCAACAGCAGCATTGGTAAGGCAGTAGTGCAGACAGATGTCATTAACATTCAGTTGTTTTGGATATTCTGACATGACAAAGCAGTATAGTTCCTGAACCACAGATCTGAACCAGGCAGACATGGTTCTGTTCAACACTACTAATTCCATGAACCAAACATTGGAAATGTCTGTGATTCACTTCAGCTACAGCATTTCACTGGCAGAGTGATTAAGACCAAATGACTCCTTGTCCTCTTATAGCAGTTTTTGCTACAACTCTAGGGGTATATGACTGTGGTTGCTTGAGAGGGTTTGCCAAGGGAATGATAAAATTATGAAAGTTGTTACTTTAGTTTCTCATATA